AATACCCGCTAGTTTTTTTTTATATTTTATATTTAAAAACAAAATTAATATGCACATACACGTGGCTTTCTGTTTTGTTGGGACCACCAACAGCTGTTCAGAATAAAGACATACTAAACATGGTTTAGGGTTTTTTAGAGAAATAGAAGTAACCTTGCTGTTCCTGTTTAAGATCTAGCTCAGTTTACCACACTTCGAACTAAGTGACCAAGCATGTACGCTACACAATCTCCTTGGAAACAAGTTATGGGTAGTCCTGCCCTCAGTATATAAACACACTGCCACATCAGCATATTAATGGGATTGACCCCAGATTGTCCCTAAAAATTAGATAAATAAAAGGCTTCAATAACCATGTGGAATTTATACACTCTGATGTTTGTTCTCGGTTTCCACTACAGAACCCTCATAATAGAATTTCACATGGGGAAATCAAACACCACTTTTCCAGGCCCTATATGCCTACACTTCACAAAACGACTATACATGCGAAAAGCAGTTCAAACAGAAAGGATAATCCTTTCACAACTGACAGAAATATACCAGAAAATCTCCTGAAACTCTGCGTTTGTTAATCATTAATTAAAAATAAATCTGAAATATTTAATACTTTTTCACCACCAGACTTTCTTGCTCACCTTTTTTCTTAATATTCAATATTTCTGGACATGAACTTCAACTTTGGAGCCAACAGAAAAAATACGCCAATTTTCAGTTTTTACTCAAAAAATTTGCCCATTTTTGTCCCATTATTCTGAAGAGAATTTGTGAAACAGGCATAATATCTAGGATTATGTCAAACACTATTTCATCATTTATACTATTATAGGTAAACAATTATATACATGAATATACGTGCAGACTGTTTAACTCACAATAGGATATCTAAAGCTTCACTAGTGAAATGAAAATAATAATTTTCCTGTGTGACCAAAAACTAATGATATGAAATCCACTATAATGGCTGATTACTGCACATTAAATATTTATTTTTTCATGGTGCATTTTTATCTACATTGAAATCTACAGATCACTCATAAATGTTCTGAATCACTTAATACATTCTGCATTTATGTCACAAGACTAGAAAACTATGCTTTTACTGGTTGATTTCTTTATTTGTAATGTTTTTGACACAAAAACCCGACTGCAGTAAAGCTAAGTACTATAAAACAAGAAAAGGTTATCTCATCAGGTTTTGAAAAGACTGGCAAAAGTAGACATTAACGTTCAGCAAATTGGCTATTATTAACCTTAAAGCGTGGTAGTCGTCGCGCTGCGCATGTGCGAGATATATGGGTCTCATATAAACAAAGATGGCGACTTTGACTGTTGCGCAGATCAACGAGTGTAAACTGAGACGTTTCCAAGCTTTAATTAGGTAATTTTCATGTGATTGGAAGGTTTCGAAGGAGTCACCGGCGGTAATCAATGCAAGTCGCGCCCAGGTCAAACCTCATTCTTGTGATTTCCATTTGAAGAGCACATTGGATTGTGGGAAAATCAATGTTTATCAACACAAATGTCGAAACATGCGCAGTGCGACGACTACCGCGCTTTAACATTTTCAGCACTAAAGGGTTTCGGAGTTGCCAAATCAAGTGCAAAATATGAAAAAATATATGAAACAGTATAAAAGCTTTAAATACACAACTTTTCCATTCCGTTTCATAATGAGTTAAATTTCTAGATATCAAATCTGTTCTACTAGTGTGCTTAAAGTGTAGAGTCATCACCTGTGCATGACGCAGATGGCCATAGCATGTCATCTACCCATGAGCCTTTGCTCCATGTGTGTGTGCAGGTGACAACAAGTAATATTTGAATGATCATGTACATAATTAATGTAATTGATCATTCAAATACACTTATTGAAGATGCGCTTACAATAGAACAAATACAGTAACTGCCAACATCCAACACCATTACTCATGCTGACATTATCATACATCTGTCACCAAATCCTCATAAATTACAGTGAGCTATCATTTTGTATCTGCATGCTACCATATTAGGAAATGCAACTTCACTGGTAAATGAAATTCCCTAAATAACTTTACAACTCATTGTTTTTTGCTGGAAATTGAAAACCCAGTGATTATGTTTACAATATCAAATTAGTGAAATTAAATCCTTGTAGAAGTTTATACTCTTGTATATTTTCTGATCCAGTTGCTTGGTGTGTGGACCCCACAACTGGGGGGATGGTGAAAATTAGTGGAATTTACTCACTATGAACTTTCTTGGAAACATATTGCAAAATTTTTCCGGGAATTTCATTTACCAGTGAAGTTAAATAATTAAAAGTGTTAGCAGTACTACATTTCTTTGAAGAATTATTGATTTGTTCACAAAATATTTCCACATTTTTCATCGAAATCTGATTATTTTTTTAATTTTTTTACATACAAGTTGTTTTTTACAGAATAGCCTATGAGAACCATACTAAGGAGTACCAGTGGTGTCATGTGAAATTATGTTTATAAATGTAGGCAAGTCAGTTTATAACAACTGATCACTCAATAAAAAGAATGTCTACTTTGGTAAGCCATTTCAGACAGCCCAGTTCATGGCCACATACATGTAGTTTAAATATTTTTCAGCTGCATTTCCTCATGTAACATGCTGCATCACTCATTTTAGTCCAAAGTGCCCAAAATGTCATTCTATACAATGTATATTGTGAAGATTTACCATTATATTCATAACTATTGATTTCAGTATACCATTTCTGACATGTGAACACATCTAAGTAGGTGCCCCATGAAGATGATGACACCTCTGGGAACATAATGGATTAAGAATATTCAGCATGTGCCAAGATCTTGTAACCATCGAGGACTTTTAGGTAGTTAGCCAATAAATAAATCATTTGAATTCAGTTCTCTAATTACAAAATATGGTGTCACAGTATACAAAAACAAACCCTACTATATTCCCAGCAGTCCTGCATTAGATTATGCCATCTTTTGTATTTCAGGAAGTGCCATTTATGCTGAGTGGTGAACTGTAACTGAAACATACATTGATACTCCAACTGAACACCATTTACAGGAAGCTCGGCTGAAACTATTTTAAACCAATATGTCAACCATGTATGCTGCTGAATATAACAAACTATGACAGGGCTAACAATCCATCTATTATTAATATTTAATAATAATATTTACATAAGATAGAAGTCCCGACTATGGCCACATTAATATATCTGATGTACATATACATGTATGTACTACCAGTAGTACGTAATGAATCTGATAGCATCTAAGTTTCTTTAATTTTTCATAACTTTCCTTTCGACAAACTCCATTTACTACTTGTCCGATATGCGTCAGATTGGTATAGAGAGGACACCCACCAGCAACGTTAATGGTTCACGTTTTTCAGCAGTTAGTTAAATCTAGGTCAAATCCTGGGTTTTCCTACACATGTAAAGACCATGATACAATGTTGCTAATTACAAACACAGCAGTTGCTGTCTTAGTTTCATTTTTCCATGTAAATGAATATCCACAATGTAAATGTCACTGGTATGAAACCACAGACAGTCTAATTAGCGTGGAACCAAGCAATATCCGGTTATCCATTCCAATATTGACATCACTGTAGTAGCCCTCCCACCTCTGGCTACTCAATGTATGCTTTCAATGACCCAATTTACTGACTTACTCATCGCGAGCTTTCATTTCCTAACTCAAAGGATGGGCATTTTAAAATTTAATTTGCAGAATAAAGTTCTCTATGGTGATTTATGGTACATAATTTTCAGAATAGAGTTATGATAGCCAACAATGCAACACAAATGATAACAGTGTTCCAACATGTGGAGAATTCAAAGAAAAGCTCAACAAATGTGCCTAATCATCAGGTTTGAGAGGAATATTTTAGGAAGCAGTGAAATGAAGAAACAAAAAATGATTGGTGGTTAGACAAAATTTTGCATTAAAATTTTGAAAGAAACAGGACCAGTTACGAACTTACGTTTCCCACGTTTGAATGATCAACGACCCACTCCCCCCAACTTTTTGATTATCATTAGCACTAGAAGCTTACTTCAATGCAATGAGCGGGCAGTTAATTACTTGAAATTAATAGCATTACTGTGATTTTCAGCGTGTAGAAGCACTGCCTCTTTTCTTATTCATTGAATTTCCTGAAATTCTTTGCGTCAGGATAGAAAGTTGCTATAAGCAAGTACTGTAAAATCTGTATTAGAAGCCGCAGATTCTATTAAAACGGTACAATGCAAGAGAGGGGATGCAACTTCTATTAGAGCACCTACACATATGAGAAATGATGAATTTTTGGTTCTCAATTATTCTAGAAGAATGGGGCGACTTCTATTAGGGATGCGGCTACTAATACAGATTTTACGGTACTGTACTATTACTGGAAAATATTGTTGTTTCAGTATTTTGAAAATACAAACTGGTTTTGTATTTCAGTATGGTTGTTTAACACTCAAAATTAACGTCTACCGATATTTACTTGTCACAATTGACAGCAATGTCAGAAAAGACTGGAAAATATTCATTACAGAAAGATATGCTGGCTAGATTAATGTTTCCATAGTAATATTGGGTGGACCAACAGTGTGTTGATACTTGATAACATGCATATAAGTACACTGTGACTTCCCAAGTAAAATGGTGTTTGACACCCATAACATAGAAGAGGCAATGGCCAAAAAAAAATTAAATTTCCTAGTTGAGTTGAGAAACCCATTTCATGAAACTGTTTTGCTCAGCAACGTCAGCGAGGCAATGCAAGCCTTTGACGACAAAATATCACTCCTTGTGAAAACAATGCCCTAAATTATGAAATATTAATTTGGTATTTTTGACATGAAATAAAAGAAGGATTGAAAACAAAGGTCAAAAAAACCAGTAGTGTTAGACAGCATATAAGGGTACATATCAAATTACTAAGGCCTTGGCATTCTTTTTTGTCATTAAAAAAAAGTTTAATTTTACTCACAAAAATGGATTGTAATCACAGCTTTGACACAATATCACAATTAAACAGATTCTGTGTTGGCAGGTACCGGTAGTTCCTCAATAACAACCATATAGCAGTGGCCCGGTAACCAGACACATTCCACAGGTTAGCCCCCCCCCCCTCCTGAGATTTTATCTACACAGGCAACAGCGGGTGACTATTGAGATGCTCAAGATGATCTGTGAGATGAAAACATTCCTCAATGACAAATTTTCTCAAAGGGAACACAGGCCATGATTTTGATTGGATGAAAAATGTAGAACACATCTACCGGTAATTTGAATATGCTAATTTTCCACACAATCCACTGCAGTTGCACGTTTCCTCCAAGTATATATTAACCTATAGTTACTACAGTGTCACAATTTTGACCATTCTTCATGGGATAGATCAAAGACATGGCAAAAATAATTATCATTTTGCACCCACCACCCCTAACCCTACCCTCCATCGCTACCCAATTTAATTGTATATACCTCTTCTAAGGAAACCTATAGTAGGGTAGAGGGACCATTCACAATTGAATTGGGAGGTATGGGTGAAGGTATTAGAGTCAGGGATAGGGATGCAAAGGGAACTCTTACCAATTTTCCAATTAGAATCAATTACTAGAATTAGTAATCACTGGTGTGTAAATTATCAAAATTATATAATAACTCTCGGTATATAATTTTATTTAAATTAAACTGTTTCTCATATTTGTACTAAAATCACTAATCAGGAATATAATATTTTCTGTATTCCTGATTTCAAGCTGAACTAATGACCAATACAATAGTTGTAATACTTTGACTTCAACAAGGTCATTGTGACTGGCTGGCTGCACGACTGCAATATGGGTGTGGCACAGTGTCAGCTCCAAGGAGAAGTATAATAGCTTACTACTACTAGCAACATGATCGATTGCACGCACATAGGTTGTTATATCTCCGAGCACTAAATAACGTTGTGTAGATCATAACGTAAATAGTAAACGAGTCAAAAGTAAACAACGACGAAACAAACCATTAAATAATACATATATACACAGTCCCTCAACAGGGACTGTGATATATATGAATGAATACGTGCGAGGACACGATAAGGCACTGTAAAGAAGGCACTACAAGACAGTGTAGAAAATAATCGCACACTAGAAATACGAGTTGATCTTTACAAACAACGCGTTTCCGACGCTAGGTAACGAAAGCGGCCATCTTACAAATGGTCTCATACTCGTTACATTGCGTGAAAGAGCACGATTGTCAAAATAAAACATCGAGCAGTGTGACGTCAATGTAAACCATGGAGTTTACCTGCACGTGAAATATGCGAAGGCATGTAAGCAGTTACGTGTCCTATAGTATATAACATGCAGTTATCAGTCATTTTCTGCGAATTATTTCAATTTTGGACGTTTAACTAAACAAGTAGCACTAGTAATTATATTTTCATTGATAACAATTTCGTGAAAGCACGTTGATAGATAGTCTGCTAGCCAGAACACATCAGTGAAATGGCTGTGTAGAGACAAAATACATTGAAAGCCAACATAGCGTACCATGGTGGGCTAAACAAAACAAGCATAAATGTACAAGTTCTTACATCATGTGGATCCTTTTTACCGTCCATAAATTGCGGAGTACTTCTACCAAAATCAGGAATGGAAATACCGACGATACCGTCCCGACACCTCTGAAAACAGAACGCAGGAATAAGAGTATGAGAGCATATAATTACCTTCGTTGGGCTGTTCCGGCAAGAAAATTGCAATGCGCATGCGTGTGCAAAACTGACCAATGGCCTTGAATGTTACGGAAGGGTCGATTTAAGTAAGAAGACTACTGATTGGATTCTGAATGTGATCGTTAGATTCGCCCCGAACCGTAGGCGTGGCATGCTGTCACTAAGGGTTACTTACTTCTAGGTCTCAGAATCCCGGAAGTGGAAAACCGTAGTCTGACAGATGACACGTGGCTTTCCGGGTGCAAATAAAGTGCAAATGATAGAACCAGTTAAGTTTGGGCAGTTATGACATATTCGCGAAACATTAGTGGTGATATTTTCGCCGAAATCCCGTTTATTTCAGATCACAGCAATGTTTAGGCCAGACTTTTTTTATTCCTTGTTTCTCGAGTTTTTATAAGGCAATATTTTTGAGGAGGGCGGAAAAAAATAAAATTAATTCTTTTTTCCATTAGATTTGTGTGATTCTCAAAGAATTGTAAGTGAGATCATTGATTGGAGAGAAGAAATAAAATAAAATGTTATTCCATGTATAACCTTGTTTCTCATCTGCACAGACTTCGGTATGACTTTGATCATGATACTCCCACGAAAATGCAACTTGGATTTGTTATGCGGCGGGCGGTAAAAAAAATGAAGATAACAAAAATATTTTTTTAGCATTTTTTTGCGCTTACAAGTCGGCGGGCGCGAGAAATTACGCTGAAATAAAATTTTATTTTTATTTAATTTTCGGCTCCTGTTCATTCGGCGGGTTCGCGAAACAAGGGATAATAAAAGTATGGCCTTAGTATACGATCACAAATGTAAACACATGTTTGTGATAATAAATTGACATTGAATGTACAAACTTAGCGAGCGCAGAGTAAAGTGAATTCCCTACTTCTGAGTCATATAAGAAAGTTGGTGATCATCAGCTCAATTTTCGAGAAAATGATGGTTGTATTTTAGTGGATGATAGTCTGCCATTTTGACAGTGTTATTTATGCTATATCTCAAATCGTAGACTGGTGACGTAGGCTGAAAAAATAATATATTGTTAATGATGGGATACTTTTCTGTTTCCTGAAATATTTCAAATATCTGAGTTTTATAAAGTGTAATTTTTATTTAATGCTCTATGGAAGTGTTCTAAAAATAGCGATTTTTGAAAAATATTAGGACAAGTTTCTCAAATTACGTCACTGTAACACTGACATAAAAGACTGCTATATTATGATGCCATGGGACAATAGCTCCATGAATACACATAATCACATTCGTTAAGTCTTTTTTATATATTCGTTTTTTTCTCTTTCTTTGTTTGTTTATATTTATTTTGTTTTTGTTTTTTTATTTTTTTAATATTGGATGTACGAACTTTTCACTTTATACCCTGCAATAAAGATTTAATAATAATAAATAATAATAATAATAATAATAATAATAATAATAATAATAATAATAATAATAATAATAATAATAATAATAATAATTAACCAAAGAACATTGTCATAATATTTGTGCCCAACTATTTATTTGGCGACAAGCCAAGAATTACATAGTATTGGGTCAAATCACATGGACCACGGTATCGAGTGAACATGGACCACGGTATCGAGTGAAATTAGAATAAATAATAAATTCTTGTGCGGCAGAGGCAAAGATTGAATACATGACAGAGGCGGCGGCACGAACTTTTGCATTGGGGGGGGGGGCTCACCAACCTTGCGCCGGAAGCGCGGCCTTACTAGTGGGTCCGGGGCATGCCCCCCTAAATAATTGGAATATAGACCCTCTGAAACGCTATTTCCTGCATTTTGAGGGGCAGATTTTGCGGACACAAAGGGTTTCGGCTTGATTTTGGAGGGGCGTCGCCCTCCAACATCTGCCCCTGTGCCGCCTCCGTCACATGTCAAAGATACTGGAAATATCGCTCTATCTACTGAAATGGACACCTCGTCAATGTGTTTTGTATTTATTTTCATAACGAATGGGAAATTGCAATTTTATTGTAATAAATGTGTTCATCCGGGATTTACTAGACAACATATCAAACGGCAGATATCATTTTGGGGAGCAGAATTAGGAAACGGGTTCAGCGTTATAACAGGTTTTCTGTATTTATTTCTTTTCAAAGCTTGTTAATAATGCAGATTTTTTTCTTTTGTCTTTCTAAGTAATGATTATTTTATTCCTATTAATTTAGGCTGTGATCACGTTGTACGGAGTGAGGATTTTTTTTTACTTCTGAAAATCACAATTTTTTCACATGCCCTTCTTCAGCTTTACCTAAAAGTTTACCCCCTCACTACCCTAATTAAATGTGACATACCCGCAGCCAAGTTAAAAAATATATGTTTCATATCCACACATAATATATAATAAGAATAATTTATATTTAAATACGAGAGGCAGCAACGTTTTATAGTTTAACTAGTTTAATGTTTGGAATTTCTATTTGATATTCATTTGATTTCCTAATATTGTTTTTATCTTGTATCATCATGCTATATTAGTAATAGTGAATTATATGCACTATATTGTCCTGTGCATTTAGTAGATATTCAAATGTTCTTTTACTATATGTTCTCACTCCCACTTTCATCGCTATCCTGCTCTATTGTAGATGATCCAAATTCATACTGTGCAATGTCTGAATCTGAGTCACTATCTTCATCGTCACTGTATGTCCCACTATCATTCCCTATGTCTTCGTACATATAATAGTGGCTGAATTGTTTCTACATTATCCTTTTGACAAAATCTGTTGTTAGCATACTCTCTGTACATATACTTATTCAGATTAGTTAATACGTGTAATCACTTCCAATTTCCTTAATTCGCTTGTTTTAACTAGCGACTGTCACTGTGACAGCTTACTGTAAGATTTAACTGTTTTTGTTTCTGTTCTCTTCTGCTTCTCCTCTTCCAATCGTTCTTGATAGAAGAAAAAGATATATTTGAAATTTTTTGGGCAATGTTGCGTCATTCTTCGAAGCTCTATGATGATAGCGACACATGTACGCAGACATGTATGACAACGAAAATACTGGAGATATATTAGACATGGATGACAAAGTCTTTGAAACGACTGGTGACATACTGATTTGCTCTTACTCTGTAACAAATGCCCTGCGAATGCTTTGGGGTACGTGTATAAAATTGAGCGCAGAATGGATTGTCACTAAGACCACAAGTTGACTCTAATCAGGTATATGTTCTTGTGAGGCATTATCAGAATAGAACCAAAAAAGTTTATGACTTCCATGTTTAAACAGATCGCTTAATATGAATTTTCCACAATATTAAAAGAACTGATTCAGTTTCTCTTGTCTTGTATTTATCTCTAATTTGATTTGAATTGTCAGTAATCTAACAAACAGTTTGACAAAAGAGATTGCAGTAGATGTTAGGGTACCGATTGGAACATTTATGTTCTATTTTCTTAGATTGACATCTTTCCTATCCATCGCGCCCTCTGGCGACGAGGTATTTCTATGACGTAAAGCCAGGGTGGACCATAATCACTTTCACGGAATTTACACCTGTTTTGCCATGGTGGAAAATATAAACATGTAAGTTTGCTGATATTCGATAGAAGGGAATTTTATTTTTATGACGTCGATTGGTACACCCAGAAGCACAATATCACACATATAAGTTTACGCTACATCCCAAAACGGTATGCGCGCATACGAAATGCCGTATCTTCAGGGGAAATCGTTCGAAGCGTCGATATCGATTTGATCTATAGTCGTCCATTAAAACAGACTATGTTTTTGAAGGATTTTATTATATTCTAGACGACTAACGATTTGACGTCACAGAAGCGGTCCGTCACTACAAGGGGCGCAACATATAGGAACTTTCTATTATTAAAGAGAGATGCAAATGCTCCACATCTGCACATTCAGAAAATAAGTTCAATGAAACACGGTAGGAATACACATAGTAGTGATAAACGCTGAACTGATATATTATATCACTATTGCCAAGAATGATCCACGACTCTATGACCTCGCCCGGGCCGGGGTTCCATAGTCCACCGTCAACTGTGGCTATTCTGCTCACACGAGACTAAGCGTAGCAAACCGTGTGGAGTCGGCTCTACAAACAAAAATATATACGCAATGTTTCTTGCACGAAAACACAATAAACTGCGGTATTGTTTTCACATATTCGTTCCAGTTTAGGTTTTTGCAAAGTCTAAAACGATCTGTCATTAATTTTGTGAATATCAAATGTGTGTTTTGTATTAATGTTAGTATTATTAAAAACAAATCCAGTCGCAACTCTTATTTCCATTAGCTGTACTGACCCCCCCCCCCAAAAAAAAAAAACGGACCAGGCACTCTCTGAGAATGTTATTAATGAGTGAGTTTCACATGGTCCCGGTTATAAGCCGATTGCTGTGGTATAACAGCTAGCCTGAGTACTACCGTCGCCTAATACGGACTAGACACCTGTACTCTATATAGAACCATCGCCGATTTGTTTTAGTAAACGGTATATACCAACCGCAGGTCGACGAATAGCCCGACCTAAAATGGTTCGAGAGAATTAATTGGCCATTGTCTCATATTTGCTGACGTCAGAGCGTCTGTTTTGTGATGTGAACCGTATAACACAGACAGACTAATTGCATGACATTAACGTCCTCAAATGCCGGTTTAATTAATTCCATTTTGTAAATATTGTCAAGTGATATCAACAAGTGGCAGCAATTAAATGAAGTCACCAGCTTGTCGTATAATATTGAAATGTTGATACCGTATCTAATCACACCAAATATTATACATCGTACTAAATGAAAAAAACACTTTTACACAGTGATAATTTTTTTATTGAGCAATACATACATCCCTAAAACCCCATGCAACCATGATGTTTAAACGATTATTCACGAGGTTATTGCATATTTACTTAACATAATTTCAGTACTTTTTTATATTTCCCATTTATAGGGGTGTTGCACAACTACGAACACGCGCGCACATACAAT